GTCAGGTTTTTAAAGTTGTTGTTTTGTGGACTGTGAAATGAACATACGTGTGTGTGTGTGTGTGTGTGTGTGTGTGTGTGTGTGTGTGTGTGTAAGCAAGTACACACACACATCACAACCACGACAGCTCGTCTTCCAACGAGAGCTGCCTGTCAAAAAGCTGCCATCTACTGGTAATTCTGTGCAACTGCAAGTCTTCATCACAGCTCATGGCTGCCATTCCTGAAAGGTCAAGGAATATATATAACAAGGAAACACGTTAAAGGGCACCATCTTTTACAATCACTAGGCAAAATTAAAGACCTTTATTTATTGTATTTAGTCAAAATCAGTGAAGCCAAGTGTCCTTGTGGGAAAATGTGAACTCCAAAGTTTTCCCAAGGTCACCTTGTAATTTTTACTATTAATTAATGTTCTGATTGAGTTTTTTGATGAGCTGCTGGTTAGATTCTAACAAATAACAAAAAAAGGAGAAATCTTTACGTTTTGGGTTTTTTTGTGTTGGTTTTGTTTTGTTTGTTTGTTTTTTGGATACAGACTAACTTTGCTTAAAAAAAATTAACCAGAACAGACAAAGGTGAAACCCTTGGGAATGTTGGAATAAATAGGAATAAAAAGGAATTTCCTTTCACCATCATCATTAAAAAGAAAATAATAATAATAATAATAATAATAATAATAATAACAACAACAACAACTGTGAGTGTCTTATAAATATTAATTTGAATTCAGTGAAGCACAGGAAGTGGAAGTCATTGTCCAGAGTTTTACCAGGTTTCTGACAGTGCCAACACCTTATACAAAGACGGATCATTTAACAGGAACAGGGTGTACATCAGACACCCTGAAGATGACACTCAATTAGCCACAACTGCTGCTTGAATAAGGATCATAATTCTGTGTAATTCTGCTCCCACCACGTGGCTTGAAAAGATTTATACACTTGTCACAATCCCATTTAAGGAAGAGGGAGTGAATGCATGTGTGTGAGCATTATTAACTTCGGCCGTTTTTGTAGCCACCGCTGCAGAGTTTCACGATAAAACAACACATGCTTTTCTTTTTTTTTACTTGTTTTTTTACACATCAGCCAGGACTCACACTCGGATTGTTTCAGGACCCTGAAACAATCCAACAGTCCAAACTGCTCATTCATATTCCACAGAGAAAAGTGTCCCTAAATTACATTAGCATATAATGCCAACCACTTAGTTCTTTGCATTTAAAAAACAAACAGACTCCTCTTTCCGTCACCTTCTCTCCCAAAAATAATGCTCACTCATGCGTAATTTCACTGGCATGAAGTCATGGCGTAAAGCAGGAACAAATTATGACCAAATTCCACTATTCAAGGAAAAAAAGACTCAACACATGTCACCAGATTACCTGGTGTCCACTGTAAGCATTATTTTTACAGAAAAGAAAACTTCTCTTTGGGCAAAACAACTATGTTGATCTCTTGCTGTGAGCTCACGTGCCTCAGGACAAGTACACCATGTACTTTCAATCACAGAAGTGGCTTCCTGTGCAGAAACCCCAGCATACCTGCTGAAATGTATTCACCAATGCTGTTAAATCCTACCTATCTGCAGATGGGATGTCTGGATCCTGAGGTGGACAGCAAGGGGAAAAAACAGTGCACGGTGGGTTTGCTGTCAGCAGTCTGAAAGACAAAGAGGGAGTGTTTGGGGGAGGGGGAGTGGCGAGGTGGAATATGGAAAGTCAAAAGAGCAACAGTCTAAAAAAGAAGATGCTTCTGTTTGAGACACCATGGGGGTTAAAGGGAACTCAAGAGGAGGGGTGGGGGATTTACATAAATGTGTAACATTTAATGCGTAGCGTGCTGGCTGCACTGTGGTGCCCTGCAGCAAAGCCGCCCTAACAGTCCATAAAACAATGAAATATGACTCTGGAGGTTCTCACATTTTTCTTTTTCTCTCATTCGGATTCATTTTTAGCTCATCTATGTGCAGCTTCCTCCCTCATACACATAAGACCCTCAGGCCACATGCTGACTTGGCATGATTTAAACACCGCATGCATATTTACTAAACATGCAAGCGCACAGTCAGTGTTGCTCTGTGAGACAAAGCCAACAACATGAACTGTTTTCTCGACAATAAACAGGAATCTGCTGCCAGCAGGTAGAATACAAAAAAGTGCGTGTGCATGCTGGAGGCGGTGCTAAAATCAGAGGAGCCTTCAAAGTCAGTCTGTAGGTCACACATGAGACGCCTACTCTGGTACTTTGGTAGTAAGGTTGGGGGGTGGGGGGTGTATGGGAGGGCTGTTTAAAGCGAGCATCATACACATGACCTCTTGACTTTTGGAGAATGTGTCCACAAAGGGAACAGGAGCCCGTTTGATGAAACAGTCAACACCACACCACAAACGTGCCTTTCGTGCTCGAGGCATCGATAAAAGATAGACGGCGCCACTGTCACAAACTGGTTTGGTGTTTTTGCCGTCGCCGTCTTGATGATGACCCTACCATTACAAACTGTAGACTGTAGGTAAAACAGCAGAGCCACAGACTGGATGCAGAGACTGTATTGGTTAGGCAGTCCCATTATGAAGTCTCGTTTTAAAATCAGAAGTCATGATGTGCATTGAGCAAATCTGACTGCTCACTGATCGCTTAATGATTCGCTAGTCACAAAATCGTCATCAAATCAGCTTTACTGTCAAACAACACCTTTTATTCGTCGTTGCCCAAATGGCACAGGACCTGAGGTTGAGACAGAGCTCTATAAGCAATTGTTCATGTTCTTTAAGAAAGTGAAATGTTTGGTCTGTTTGCATTTAGACCCCTGAACTCCAACCCATCATGGCAGACAGTAATATTGTAGGTGCTGTAGCGTTCAATATAAAGCGCAGTTGAAGCAGCAATTGCTGTGAATTGGTGCTATATTAATAAAATCGTTTGGTTGGAACAGATTTGAACTTTCCACACAACGCTGAGCTGAGTTGTGGGATAAAAATGTTTGTAGTGTTTGCAACTTCAACCCACCAGTGCAGTCTGGAGTCCATCTGTAAACACTGGGATAATCCAGCCATCCATTTACTTAGCCTCTTATCCGAATCAGGCTCTTTCGGGGAGCCTTGAGTCAATCTCAGCTATTGACATGCGCGACCAGTCCATCCCAGGACTAAGAAAGAGAAAAAGACAAGAATTCAAACTCACATTCACACCTATGGCCAGTTTAGAAACAGCAGTTTATATGAATGCATGTGGGAGGAAGCCTGGAGAGAAGCCAGAAAACACAGCGACAAGATGCAAAGTCCACACACAAACGTCTCCGTGGCATAACAACACCAACAGATGGCTAATTTATATACTCTTGTGGTATAGACATGAAAACTCATAGATTAGCAAATCAGGCAAAGAAAGAGTAAAACCTTGTTGAAGGTGACCTGTGATGGTGATCTAGTGAAAATACTTTTTTGGGTTCGGGCATGGGAAAAGTTTCATCTTCATGAGCGGGCTCTAGGAAAGAGGAAAGAGGCAGCACCATAATCAGCTCTGCTAAAAACTCCATGGATTGCACACAAAGCTGATGGAAAAATATCAATAAAATCATCATAAATTAAATCACAGCACCATTAAGAATGAGGTGATTACAGACTTTGTCAGTCGCCAAAGACGAGACCAACAAGGATCAATTGCTGATATAAAACGAGATGAAATCTCAGAAAAGCTGAATTTTACGTCATGTCGTTTGTTTCTTGTCACTTCTCACCAGTTAACCCAGTACCCCGCCCCCCACTCCCTGGAAAAGGAATGGGGGATGTTTGTGTGTATTTCCGTGTTTGTCCAGCAGATGTCTCCACTGAACTCTGCCCTGCCTGTATTTTGCAAAATGAGTTTGCGGGTGAGGAGAGCAAGGTCTAACTCTACTAAAAGGTTACAACCATACTAAATAAACACAACTATGACCTGGTGTACATACGTATACTGTGTGGTAATGCTTTATAATAACCATCAATAGTAATGCAAAGATACATGTTTAGTTGACAAGATTTAAGATGTTATATTTTTTTTAATCGTCACCAATTTTATTTCCTCTTCATGAATCATTAATAACTGAAAGTGTGATTTTAGTTGAAACATGATGTTTCTTAGTTTTGTCAACAGCTGCCTGCAGAGACATGATAAACAACAGCATGTGCATATCTCAGCAGTATCTGATGCCTGATGATCAGGATGGTCTCACTGATCATTAAACCTTTATTATGTAACAATATTTATCATTAACAAATACATAGCATGACATTTAAAATCTTACGTGCTTACTGAGTCTCTTCAGCTAAAACTGGTACGTGTTACTAAGGAATTCATAATATTATTCTCATATTTTATTTATAACAATATTTTAATATTTTTCTAAATATTTGTGATTTGTAAAATACATTTGTAAGAAGATTAACGGTCGACTTGCAAACTGTTTGGTCCCTGGCAATGCACAGCTCATCCTGGTTATTAAAACTGAAGGTTTTCATTTCTACTTATTTCATGTCATCTCGATCATTTAATGAGAATTGTTTAATGTTTAATGGCTTAAATGGAAGAAGCTCAAGGACTGAAAAGATCAGTTGTAATCCAGGTGTGTTAGAGTTGTGTTAGGGTTGTGTTAGAGTTGTGTTAGAGTTTTCGTGTCCTGTGGGAGAACCTGTTGGTTGGTTACGTCAAACCTGCATGTGTCACGGCGCTTTTACAAAACTTTATGTGAGCATTTTTATTCATCCACCCAATCAGAATCAGGAACAAACATTTTCCACCTTACCCCCACCACCACCACACACACACACACACACACACACACACACACATCCTGTTGCATCCATTCAAAGCCCCTCCACCATGTTTCTCATTATAAACTGGTTCCAGCAAGTTCTTGACAATTAGCACACAGTCACCCTGCTCCTGCATAACCAAACAACTGCAGCCAAAGAACTATAAAATAGAGGCAAGATGGACCAAGAAGAAAAAAAGCGACGAGGAGAAGAAGCGACGGCTAACGGACAGAAAAAGAAGAGAGATGGCTCAGAGAAGAACCAGTGGAACCAACCTCTTCATGACAGGTGAGCTCAGAGTAGCCGTTTTACGTCTGAACACTGATTTGTACAGAACAGTCCAAATCAAATGGATCATTTGCTTTAAAAGAAAATGTTAGAAGTTAAAATCTGCGTTTATGAAAATGTAAATGTTCAGACCTGAGGTTCTACAGTTTTGTACCAACAAGATACAAATTTGTAAGCGTGATTATATTTAGAAACACTGTTACAAGTTTGCTCACCAGCACTGACAAACAAACTTCTGAGTGCACAACATCAATATATGCATCTGTATTGCATATATTAAATGTAAATGTCATCCTAATAACATTGTTTATTGCAGTGGTCTGATCATTTCTTTGCCCTATATAAATCCAATTTAGATTAGCTTTCAATAAAATTATATGACACGTACCATTCATTCACTAATATACTTTTTTCACTAATTGTTATTGATTGTTATTCAACGTATTGTAGTAATTATTAAAAAAAAAATTTTTTTGGTTTTTTTTAAGGGGATTTTAAAAAGTTACATTTAAAATGATTGCACCAGAGTTGGCTATTAATTTGTTTTTATTTATTTATTTATTATGTTAGAAGTTAGAAAGCCATAATAATGTATTCTTAATGTATTTTTCAGTGCATAACATTTTGAATTAAATTAACCTAATAATTATAATGGCTGCACTGATGATGGCACTTTAGCGTTGACTAAAGCCAGATTGAAAATCAGTTATCAGACCTAGTGTAATATTTATATTTATGATTAACAAGAAATTTTGTTTCTATAAATAAAATATACCTTTTATAGATTAGATGCAGGTCAGAACTTTTAACTCAAACATAAAAGAAAAATAAGGAAAAACAAATGACAGCTGTACCTGTTGAATGATGCTCACATTCCACCCAGCCCCCCCGATAAGCAGATGTAAGAGAAAAAGAGGGAAAAAGCCAAAAAGACACCGAACTGTGGCCCTGCAGCTGCTTCCTCTAACGCTGCCTCATCTTTTCATGCTTCACAGTGTTGTGTGTGGTGGCGATGTGCAGAGCCGTCCCCGTCAACGAGCTGCTCGAGCGAGCCTCTCAGCACTCTGACAAACTGCACACGCTCAGCACGACGCTCACCCAGGAGCTGGTCTGTACCTGTTTGTGTGTGTGTGTTTGAACTGTAAATGACATGTCACAGTCTCCCCAAACATAAAAAACACAAACTTCCTGTTTGAACCCGATGCTTCCTTATTAGCTCGACATGCAGTGCAGTGGGTCTGCTTGAAGCTGCCTCATCTTCAGGAACTATGCACTGATCTAACTGATCTATTCGAGCAGGACAATATTCATTTAATGTCCTGAAAAGTGGGGATTGAAAGCCTTTCTGTTGAACTAAAGCATTCTGCATCCTCACGTTCCATCACAGAGAAAAATCTGTTTGTTGTCTTTTTTCAAAGAGACTAACGCTCAACGTCTGTCCCTCCCAGGACTCTCACTTCCCTCCTATAGGCAGGGTGATCATGCCGCGTCCCGCAATGTGCCACACCTCCTCTCTACAGACGCCCGTTGACAAGGACCAAGCACTTCAAGTATCGGTAAGTGCTTTTACTCCAGTATTGACATTATTGTTGCTTCCATGTGCTTTAACCACATATTATTCAGTTTGGTATTTAACACCTTCCCCACTGTCTCTTATACATCAAATTGAATGTCAGCCTTGCAAAAATACATTATATTCCAGAGACCCCTTTAAGCAGGAAGTCATTTAAAGAATACTTTGAGAATGACTGTGTGAATTTGACTTTCTACGAAAGCTAACGAGAAAAAAAGGGGTATTTTCAACACAATTCAATGATATTTGTTTTATTTAGATGGAGCAAAGTCACAACAAGTTGCCTTTAGGTGCTTTATGGGCTGTATCCCAATTCAGGGTCTGCAGCCTTAAAGTACGCAGTCTCAAC